GGGGGGAGAGTAGATGGAGGAGGAGTGGCGAGGTTAGGTTAGGAAGTGGAATGAGGAGGAAAGGTATTGGGAGACGGAGGAGAGTAGGAGATGCAAGCTATGCGGATTGGAGGAGGAGACATGGGAACATACGTGGGAGATATGTAGAGAATAGACGGAAGGAGGAGGGAGTTGGCAGGAGCAAGTGGAAAAGATATTGGGGGAAGAGGGAGAGGGGGAAGGGTGGATGAAAGAGGTAGAGGAGGAAAAACAGGGGAGAAGAGGGTGGGAAGGAAAGGAAGGGAAGAAAGAAGGAAGGAGAGAGAGGATAGTGTAGAGATGGCCCAATGTATTTTTCTTTTAACAGGACCGATTATTTGGGTTAGCGGAGAGTTCGGTGAAAATGACAACACTTGTCGACGGAAAATGATTAATTTAATGATGTGATTATAATATTTAGATTCCTCGTTTGCGCTTACATAACACCTTGCGCTCTGGAGGCTCGTACGTGACTCGTTCTTGTCTTTTCTCGCCCGCGCTCCGCGAGCTTTTCCCCCCTTCTTCCCAAAATGGCAATAGCGCTTCTCTCGCACGCGTACACGCTCATACATACACTCATACATTCCAGATCCGCGCGCTCAGTCTTCTCACTCTCGACATACACACACACACGCAAATAATTGCACCCTACAATCGGCCATTCTGACTTACATTCGTTCTCGAATGTACTGATCGCGCGTCCTACTTTCCACGCTCAGACTCATCAACATTTTCGGATTCGGATTTGTCGTCGGAATCTACGTTTTCCACCCACGGCTTCATATGGTCCGCCGCTGATGCTGTTTGCAACGGTCCTTCGTGTTCGCCAACTTTGCTGACTACGTAACGATCGTTTCGCAATTTTCTCGTTACTTCGTAGGGTCCGAGATACTTATTTGAAAATTTCATACCTGGCCCGATCTGCGTTCGTTTAATGGCGACTAAGTCGTTTTCGCGATACATGGTGGCTTTTTTCCTCTTCCTATTGTAACTTCGTTGATTCTCCTCTTGTATCTGTGCAATTTTCTTCTTCGCGCTACATCTTATTTCATCTCACTTTTCTTGAAACGCTGTAATCCACTCTTCTTCGAGCAGTCCCCGTATTTCAGGATCGTCTCGGAGCTTCGCTTGGACTCCAAATAACAACTGAAAAGGCGTCGTACCTGTGCTGCGACTAGGCGTCGTATTTACGTATTGTTGCGCAATGCTCAGGTGTTTGTACCATTCGTCAGATTTCGGTGAGGACAGCTTGGTGAGCAACGGAATGAGGGTGCGATTTACCCTCTCCACCTGTCCGTTCGCTCTTGGGATGCCAGTCGTCGTTAACACATGCTGAATGTTTTCTCTTTGACAGTACTCCTTAAAATCGTTGGATGTGAATGCAGTTCCCCTATCAGAGACCACGCGTCTTGGGTTGCCAAATATTATCGATTGTTTACGCAGCTTATCGATCACCTCGGCGGTGCTCGTTGATTTCGTCGTGTAGAGCCACGTGAATTTAGTAAAACTGTCGATCACCACAAAAATGTGTCGATAATTCTTCTTTGTTGAAGCCAATGGACCCAAATGGTCGACGTGAAAGGTGTCCAATGGTACATCGCCTTTATCGATTGTGTTTAAAAATCCTTCTTGTCGTCCTTGCTTCTTCTCAGCCAAAATACAATCAATGCAGTTGCAAACGACCTTCTCCGTTTTTCCCCGAAGATTCGCAATCCAGTAGTCTCGTTTCACGATCGCCTCCGTCTTGCCTGCTGCAAAATGACCTCTTGCGTGAGCTTGTCGTATCACCTGGTAAGCCATACTTTTCGGAACAACCAACCGGACGTCAACTCCATCGTCTTTAAATAATAAACCGTCTCGAATCGCATAGCCCTCAATTTTGCCTTGCTCGGCCAGCCACATTACTCTCATAATTTCGGGGTCTGTTTCTTGTGCTCTCCTCAACTTTGCCGTAACAGCGCTTTCGTCCTCGTCCACTAACAAACACGTCGGCAGAGGATTGCGACTCAACGCATCCACGTGTGCCATGTTCCTGCCAGGACGATGCTCAATCGTGTAGTTGAATTCCTCCAACTGAAGCGCCCACCTTGCCACGCGTACACATAAGTCTTTTTTATTCATCGTAAGCGCAAAAGCTCTGCAGTCCGTCACAATCTTAAATTCAATACCCAACAGATAAACTCGGAACTTGACTAACGCCTTGACCACAGCTAACACCTCTAACTCATAACTCGTGTATCGCTCTTCTAAATCTGTTGTTTTTCCGCTCGCGTAGAATACAGGGTGTAAACAGTTGTCGTTGTTATCGCGCTGTAGTAATATCGCGCCGTACCCGTGCATAGACGCATCGGTGTGCAGCTTTGTCTCTGCTTTCAGACGATACAAACTTAACACAGGTTTATTGCTCAACGTGACCTTCAAGCGCTCGAAAGCGTTCACCTGATCCTTTTCGAATCGGAACTTCGTATTTGCCCTAAGCAAATTCGTCAACGGTCGCGCAATGAGAGAATATCCGGGTATAAACTTTCTAAAGTACCCAGTTAAACCGAGGAAACTCTGGACTTTACGCATATTTTCAGGTTTCGGAAATTTTTGCACAGCCTTTGTCTTCCGCTGTGAGGGCTGCACGCGTCCATCTTCGATAACATGCCCCAAAAACTCGACTTTTCGTTGCATGAAATTACATTTTTTCCAATTAATTTCTAACCCCGTTTGACTCGCTACGCTCAACACTCGTCGTAAATTCATTAATGCGCTCTCACAATCTGCCGCCGGAATAATAACATCATCTATGTATGTAAGAACTACGCACGATAGTCGACGCAAATTCGGTTCGACCCGTCTTTCTTCTTTACCAGCACTATGGGACGCGTAGTCCAATACTGATGACTTTGCAATACCGCTCTGAATCCACTCGTTTATTTGTGCGTTTACATCGTCTTTTTCAACGCTGCTTAGTCGTCTGGCTCTCTGATAAACCGGCTCTTCGTCTTTTAACAAAATCGTCATTTTGACCTCTACTTCACGCGTTTTTATCGGTCGGTATTCGTTAATCATTCCTCGTACTACTTTACGCGTTTTTTCGTTGTTTATCGAAGATAAATCTACTGGATCTATCTCGCACTCATCAAACGCATCAATTTTACATACTTCGGGTACATCGTTGTCAAATATTTCGCTACACGGAATAATTGTCGCCTTTCCTCGTTTTACGCGTAAGTCAACTTCGTCAAGGAAATTTCGCCCGATTAGTAACGCGTTTCTCGACAGATCGTCTGAGACAACTTGAATCAAAATATCGTACGTGTGGTCATCGACTGTAATTTTTGCGTTAAATTCCCTTAGAGTCATATTTGTGCCTTCGCCTATACCTCGAAATGGTGTTTGTTTACAAATCAACCTCGGTGTGCCTAGCTTAATGTACTGATTGGCCCGCATTATCGTTAGATCACTCCCCGTATCGAGAACAGCTGGAATAAGTACATCATTAATTTTTACGTTCTTCAATTGTTTACGCGTTTTTGTTTTCGTCATTAAACAATTCGCTTCCGCCTTATTTTTTTTCGGACACTTAGACGCTACATGACCGTACTCATTACATTCGAAACACTTTGAACCTTTTTCTCTCTCAGGACATGCGACACTCATATGCTTCCGACTACCGCAATTGAAACAACGTTTTATCATACCTCTTTTTTTATCGTCATTCATTTCTTTTTTCTCACCCGTCACATTGCTCGTGTGCTCGCGCTTGTCGTTTTTCCGCCGATCGTCGTTGAATTTCGTCTTTTGGCCCGTTGTCACGTGACTGCCATCTTTCAACGTGATTTGCTCGAACGCCAATAGCAACGACTCTTTGGATGGAAATCGGTGCGCACGCGCAAGGTCTCGTAAGTGTGCGTCTGGGATCCCTTCGATGACATAACCTACAACGTCTTCTTCATTAATCGAGATACGATTCGCCAAAATAATCTTTTGGTGAACGTAATCGCGAAACGTCTCATTCTTCTGCCAGGTGCGTCCCTCAAAGCGCCGTCGCAGCATGATTCGGTTTGGGGGAAGGTAAAACATATCCCTCAACTCCGCCAACAACTCGTCCGCCGTCATTTGTATATACGCTGGGCTAGAATGGAACCACTCAAGCGCCTTACCTCTAAGCCTCATACCGATGAGAAGCTTCACCATGTTGCTCTCCATTCGGTACGCCGTTTTCAGGAATACGACTTGATTTTCCCACGTCTCATATCGCTCAGAGTCTCCGTCGAAATAGCTCAAAAGATCCGCGATCGTCGTCATATTTACCTTCGTCGTAATCGTTGGAGATGCTGCACGCTCGTCTGCCCTTTGTTCGACTTGACTCGTTGTGGCTCCGTCGCATTCGGAGGAACGCATACGCCGTAAAGTTTCGATCTCTTGTTGAGCGCGTCGTAACTCTGCCATTAGCTGTCTTTCTCGTTGATGACTTTGAGATGCTGCACCGGTGTCCTCCACGTCGTTTTGCGATTGATTCGACTCATCGACATTTATCGCGCTCGTCCACTCTCCCTCGGGGTCAGCCACTTTTAGTCGTGCCACAAATTCTGCTTTCGTTCCACCTATACTCAGGCCTTTTGTCTTTAGTATATTTCTTATTTCAGCCGCAGTCAACGTCTCAATCTTTCCTTGTCTGTCCGTCATTGTTTTTCGTATATCCGCCGTTTTTTCCAACGCTTCTTATGTGTCCCTCGTAAACAAACGCTGTCACACCACACTCAACACAATGCGCACTCGTCTACTGCGCAGTCTTCGAGAACGTTCGTCGTACCTTCTCGAAGATTCTCGTTGCTTCTTGCTGTCTTCGTCGTTTTCGAGAACTTTCGCTACGTCATTGCAAAAATTCTTATCGTCGTTTTTCAAGAGTTTACACCGTCGTTTTCTCGAAATCTTCGTTGTTTCAGAAGCACTCGTCGTCGTTGTTGGAAATTCTCGTTGTCGTCGTTTTTGTCACTATTCACGCGTTTTTTTTTCTCTCCACTGATCCCACTTCTGACACCAAGTTTGTAGAGATGGCCCAATGTATTTTTCTTTTAACAGGACCGATTATTTGGGTTAGCGGAGAGTTCGGTGAAAATGACAACACTTGTCGACGGAAAATGATTAATTTAATGATGTGATTATAATATTTAGATTCCTCGTTTGCGCTTACATAACACCTTGCGCTCTGGAGGCTCGTACGTGACTCGTTCTTGTCTTTTCTCGCCCGCGCTCCGCGAGCTTTTCCCCCCTTCTTCCCAAAATGGCAATAGCGCTTCTCTCGCACGCGTACACGCTCATACATACACTCATACATTCCAGATCCGCGCGCTCAGTCTTCTCACTCTCGACATACACACCA